GAAAGGAAACATTGATCGGTTGCCTCCTGTAATCTAGGAATGTGCCCTGACCATGAACCAAACCCACAACCTTTTGGTGCACAGGTTGGCCGGGGATGCCCCCTCTCTTACCCCTCACCCTCGAGCAGTTCTGTGCCACCAGCTGGTATTCTATAGTTCAACTCAATCCTGACACCACCTACCCAGCTCACAGAATTCAGGAGACCAGATTACTCACTAGGTTGTCAGTTTATCACAAAGGATATTACAGAACATGAATCACAGCCAGATGGGAAGGGCCAGAGCTTCCGTGCTCTCTGGGTGTGCCCCTCCCCCTCCGAGCTCTCTGGGGCGACCCCCCATGATCTCTGGGTATGCCCCGCCCCCACGCTCACCTACCCAGACGCTCACCTACCCAGACGCTCTCCAAAGGCAGTCCTTTCGGGTTGGATTGAACCCCACACTTAGGAGACCCCATGTATATTTCTTACTAATAAGTCACTCAGGTCCCCAAACCATGGTGAATCCAAGTGACTCTTCCTCAAATTGTGTCCAGAATCTAACTGCCTCTCCCAACCCTGCTGGTGCCACTCTGGTTGGCATCTTGGGCCTCAACTGCTGCAACAGCCTCCCGCTCCGCCTGCCTCATCTGCTCTCCCAGAAGCCCCCACGTCAGCCTTGAAGACCTGAGTCGGGCCAGCTGCTCATCCCGAGCTGCCAGCTCAGACCCACGTTGTCCCCTGGTCAGGACTCTCCCACTTGCTGATTCCTCTTCCCCCAACCCGAGGGCTCCCTCCCTCAGAGGGCAGGTTCCTGCTCCAAGGTGCCCCCTGCCAGCCCTCCCATCTCCCCTTCCCTGCTGTGTGTCCCCAGGCCTCAGGCCCAGGCATGCGCTCCTGTGTTCAGGACGATGCCTGAACGAGATGATGAAGGTCTCTGAGGCCTTCACTGACACTTACCTGAAATAGTACATGACATGCGCTCAGCACAGGCACACCGTCCCGCCAGGTGCTGGGTTAGCCAGAGGACCCAGTCCTTGCCCACCTAGTGGTGCCGAGTGCCAGCTCTGTGCTCGGGCTGGGATTCTCGTGCCCCCACCCCAGAGCTGGTCCACCCACCCAGACAGGTGCCTCCTGCCTGCCTACCCAGACCTGTGCCTCCTGACTTCCAGGCCTCTCGCACGGTGACACACGGCACTGCGTGGCTCCAGAATGACGTCCCAGCACGCGCTGTGGGAAGGGCCAGCAGGAATTGCTGAGGGGCCTGTGCGTGACGCCGTGTCCTCAGGGCGCTGGGAGGACCAGCGTGACTACTGGTCAAGGCCAGGCTGGCAGGAAAGGCGGTGGCAGAAAGACCCCGCTGTCCCCGCCAGGAGTGACAGCCGTGTAACACCCTGGCTAGCTTCCTGTGCTGCTAACAAACCCCCACAGGCGGGTGGCTCCCGGCACAGGAACTCTCTCTCGGATCTGACGCCAGAGTCCGCAGTCCGGGCACGGCCCAGGGAGAGCCCAGTCCTTACCTCCCCCAGCGCTGAGGGCTCTGGCCGCACCCCTGCTCTTCAAGGCCAGCACTCCACTGCCCCTCTGTCTCCGCTCACCGGGTACACCTGACTGCAGGAAGGACCACCCCAAAGTCCAGGACTCTCCCATCGCAAGAACCATCACTCAGTCACACCCACAGAGCCACCTACCTATCTGCTCACAGTAACTGTCACAGGTTCCCAGGGTGAGGCTGGACAGCTGGGGGGCTTTGGTCAGTGTACCATACCCGCCTCCCCGCCCTATCTGCTGCCACAGAGCCGAAGAGTGAGGTGGGGGGGGGGGGCGTGGGCAGAGGGAAGGGGCCTGGGGCTCCGCGGGGCCTGGGGCACCACAGGCACTGCCCACTGGTGACAGCTCCTGTGGGGGAGCCCAGCAGGTCAGGGCCAGGGCAGGCCGGTGGGGGGAGGTGCCTCCCGAGGGGCCTCTGTCCCTCCCCTCTATTCCCCTCCCCCGGAGGCAGCGACCCTCAGGCAGGCCCAGCGTGTTCAGGACAGAG